GAAGCCGCTGACGTCACTTCTTCTTCTTCTTCTTCTGCTTTGGGTTTACTGGCAGGCAGTGCTTGAATTGGAATGAAAAAGGTGCCAGTACTCTAAAATCAGCAACTTTTTCAAGTCAATTTTATATATACAGCCCACAAACTATAATGCTGGTGGGTTTGTCTCTTTACTACTGTATATTTTAGAAAGGTTCACTGTACTTAACATTTTTTATGATAGGCAGCGGATATGGCTAAAGCTCAGTAAGGTCAATATTAACTGAAAATATAGCAATCAAAGTCTAGATCTTCTGCTGAAGACACATGAAGCAGAGACCTTTCAGGTGAGAGCCCCTCTGGTGGTGTTCAACATTAATGACAAGGAAACAAAGCTCTGGTCAGAAGCATTTTTTATAAAAAGCTTTAACAAAATTAAGTATTTCTGTACATTTTGAATGCAATCTAACTTTCCAACTCAGAAAACGAAAAACGAAAAAGTGCCAAGTCTTCTCACATGGCTGAACTGCTTTGCAATATACTTCACCACTGAAGAATACAAATATGTATAAAGTAAACTGATGCAATCTAACTTTCCAACTCAGAAAAATGATAAAGAGCATGAACAAAGAACATGTAAAAACAAATGCAAAATTTGCACAATCTAAAATGAGAAACTGTAACTGCAAGTAACAAAGTCTGAGCCATGGTAAAGAGTTACATTGAACACCAAGCTGATCAGATAACTCCCTGGTTGGTCTGAAGTCCTTCTATCTCCAGGATCTGTACAAATCGGCACATTATGCCAAAAGTCTTCTCACTGGGTGAGCTGCTTTGCAATATACTTCACATTGTTAGAAAAGGCTCCAGAAGGCCTTGGGGACATCAGTATCAGGGGCTGGAGCTGGACAGGCTCTTTCATCAGCACTTCTCCTTCCCTTTGCCAGCCAGGACCTCACATACTGTTCCGGATTGAACTGTCCTAGTGATGGTCCATTACATTTAATGAAAACCAGGCTGGACAGTCGGCTGACAGAGAGAGCATTCCTTTTTGCAGTAAGGATATCGTTCATGCAGCTGAATGCCCGCTCACACTCACTAGTGGAGACAGCGATGGTTCGGACTGCTTTCAGTAGAGGCTCCATGGCAGCAGGTGTACGGGATGCCCTGGTTTCCTTGTATTCGCGAAAGCCCTGAACAGTCTCTCTTCTGTCCACTATCAGCACTTCGCACAAACGTAGCACCTCTACGTCCCCATACTGTACGTCTAACTCCTCTTCAGGCCAACTTTCATGTCCTGGATTAGCTGATTGTCCCGGGCCTCCCGGCCATGTAATGGGATTTCTCTTGTGCTGACATGAGAGGAGGTTGTGGAAGTCATTCTGTGTCTCAGATTCTCTACCATACTGCGGAAAAACTGACCTGCATGAATCTGTACAAGCCTGCCATTCTCACGCAGGGCAACACCCTTGAAGGACTTCTCAGCTAGAGCTGTATGAACTGTAGTCATGTGTGGGCCAGGCATGGTGACCATGGATTCAAAAACTCGTATTTCTCGAGTTAAGAGCCTATCTGCTGTAGGCAGTGTCATCTCTCTTTTTTGGAGTTGCCGAGAGAGGTCGCTGAGCTCTGTGAGCGCATCGTACATCAGTCCCAGATTGCTGACAAACGTTGCAGATGTGAGCACATCATCCAGGCCCTTGTACTTTGCTCTGTCTCTGGAATCCCTGCTCGTGTCGTTTGCAGCATTTGTGAAGTGATCATGAAGCACTCGGTAGTTTTCCCAGACTGCTCTGACGCTCCTTTCACTTGAAGCCACCCAGCGGATGGACAAAACACGCCCTATCACCAGGAGACGCTGTCCGACTGCTTGCGCACACTGCGCTAACTGCCTCTGATTTTTGGGGGAGGCATGGAACAAGGAATAGAGTTTGTCAAAAAAGATCTGGAAATGATTGAGCCCTGAGACCTCCTTGACCACATCCCCAACTGCCAGCTCTAGACGATGATTGGAGCAGTGCCACACAAACAGGCTTGGGAATTTACTACACAACTGGGTAGCAACGCCTGTTCTCTTCCCTAGCATGACTGAAGCCCCATCACATGCAAAATAAACGAAACACTGACCTAAAAAGTCCTCGTTAAAATCTCTTCCAAGACACTCCATTAACGCCTTTGTGATGTCATCAGCCGTTGTTCCATCCAACTCGATCAGCTCCCAAAAAAACGTTTCGGGCTCAGCATCAGCTAATGCTGAGCGTAGACACACAACAAGCACCGTTTTACCACTAATAGTGGTAGATTCATCGACCAAAACACAGAGTTTTCTTTGGTTTTCTGTAATGTCTTTTGCCATGTCAACTATGTGGTCGATGATTTCGCCACAGGTTTTATTGGAGTGCAAAACCCTGCCCACGTTCAGCCCATTCAGTTTCTGTACATTCAAATCAATTGGCATGTCTGTGAATGGCCGGCTATGTTTGCCAATTTTATATGCCGTTCGAAAAACTCTGATAGTGGTGTCTAATTCAGATTTATGCATAGACTGCACTTGATGTTGAATAGTTTCACGTGAAGCAGATGTAAGGATGTCAGCAGCTTTTACATGGGCTTGTGATTCTTTATGTTCTTTGATTTTTTTTCTCAGGCTAGCTTGTTGTTTGCCCTTGTCAACACCGAAATGAGACACTGCACACTCACCCCATTCAGTTGACAGTTTCAGTCCTTGTCCAGTGTGTATTCCCAAAGATTTGACATCTCTGCATATCCGACATCCTAGCTTCTTATCTTTAAGAAGGAGCCATGCATTGGTCTTGCAAAAATATTGCACCTGGTCCGTTGTCCAGCAGTCAGGTGCATCGCTTTGCCCGGTGTTGGTGGTGGCAGTTGCGCCAGGCTCTGGAGGAGGCGGCGGAGCTAGTGCTAATGCTAATGCACTAGAACTTGGAGCAGGAGGATCAACCAAAAAAAGCTTCCCATCAGACACAATTTCCAACACAGGCACAGCATTCTCTGTATTTGAAGTTTCTTCCGGCGACAACCGCTGTCTTTTTGCACTTTTATTAATCCACGCTAACATTTTAGAAATGCTAATTTGTGACGTGACTTGCTTTCTTTCTCTCGGGGGCGTGCCTGCTCTGTTCTATCACTCTACATAGCCACCCACTGGGTGGGAGTTGCACTGCATAAACACAACACACGTGCATCTAGGTATGTAAATTGTAAAGCATTAAAACATGGTTTTACTAACAGTTTTCAGTATGTTGTTACTTCGGCATTATTATTATTATTATTTTGAAACGTGTATTACTATTAAATCACGGTCAAATAGGTTAATTTTGACATAGTCGTTTCCACCACAGTATTTACATGGAGAAGATAAGCCCCGCCCCCTCTCCAGCACGTTCTGTTTGAATGACAGGAGTAAACAGCTGACAGCCGCTGTGAAACTCCAGCGGTTAGAGCGATGAGAATGTCCGTTCGGCACCTCATGACGCATCTACTGAGTACCGGGCGGCTGTATATATATATATGGATGTATAATAAGAACGGCGGGAGAGTGTTGAGTACTGGCACGGTGCATGAGTACCGGAGTACCGCCAGCATGCCGGTACTGAGCAAGAAGTGCCGGTACTCCATGGGTCAAAACCAGAAGTGCCGGTACTGCGTACCGGTGAGTACCGGCCCAATTCCAGCACTGCTGGCAGGCCGCAAACCACTTCACGGCGTATACTGCCGCCCAAAGTCCCCGGAGTTGGGGACTGGCTTGAGTAGAAGCTGCTGGGAGTCCCAGCAGCCTTCCGAGTAAATCGCCAGAACGCCGACACCTCCTCATCTCCACCGCTCCCATGTTTTATTTTGTGTTGCCATAAATTAGTCTCTCTGCGTTTCTGCGCTGGGCTAATGCTAATAATGCTAATGCGAGGATAATAAAATGGCGGCTTCACAAAACTTTTTGGGAGTTTTACGGGGCGTGGTTTGCAATCCACCCAGCCAATCAGAAATATAGCTCTTTTCTCACAAGAGAGCCGCACGAAAGTCCCTGCTCTCTAGCAGCTCTCTGCTCTCTAGCAGGGACTTTCGTGGGGGTAAAAAGGTTCTCATGAACTAATTTTAGTACCGGCTCTTTTTGGTGTGAACGCGATAAAAGAGGCTAACGTCCACGCTAGCTTCCACGCTAGCTGCTATATGTTTTGCATTGAGGTGATACTTGAGGCTTGATGTGCTGCGGTGATATGCGAATTCCTTTTTGCATAATTTGCACACAACCGTGCTCTTATCAACGCTTCCATCCGTCCGTTTTTTAAAACAACATTTCCCACTGTTGTTCACTGTGGTTTGTTGTTGTCTGAAGTCATGAACGTTAGTTGGTGCTCCAGTATAATCGGTACGCCTGAAACTCATCCAGTGAGAAACGTTCCGCGGTGCAAAAATAAGTGCGATTAAAATGCGTTAATTTTTTTAACGCGTTAATTTTTGTGTGATTAATTAATCTTAATTAACGCGTTAAAGTCCCGGCCCTAGTAAGAACATAAGTGCGGGGTGCAGAGACTGAAAGAGACACAATTCTCCCTATTAAAAGTCACTTTAGCATCAAATTTAAGTTGAACATGTTATGTTCACCAAATATTTATGTAAACACAGAAGGACAGCACGGAACGTCTTCTCTCTAAATATATAAAGTATCCTTTTATTTTTGAATCTACGAGTTGCTCCAAGTCTTGTGTTCCTGCCTCTATATTTACTGTATATTGTTGTGAAACTCCATCCTTGTGTCCGTTTGACCCTGTCCTGCTTTCATCTGGCTCTCCTCCAAAGAAGAGAAGAGGAGAGGCCAAGAGGAAGTGATCCCTATATTTAGACTGCAGGTTTACAGAAGCTGCTGCTCAAAGCTTTCTTCGACTGAAATACCGGTGTATTTTTAACACTCGATTGATTTCCAAAAGTATCTGTTTTCTAAGTTGTTTTTGCAGCTCCTATACAATTTCCCTATTCAAACAGACACCCTTTTTTCCTCTTTTACAGACCGTTTTGATCACCACTGTCCATGGGTAGGCAACTGTGTGGGCAAGAGGAACTACCGATACTTCTACATGTTCACCCTGTCGCTCTCCCTGCTCACCATCTACATATTCACCTTCGACATCGTCCACGTGGTGATGCGTGAGTATCCTGTCAGCCGTTTGTGCAATAAGAAGGAACAAATGTGTAGGAGATTAGAGTATGAATAGAAAGATTGTGGTAAAACAGGAAGAACAACCTTTGACACAAACTCATTAGCAGTTTTTGCAGACTCTTACAGTACATGAGCAGCAACTATGACCTCGTTCAGACCAGCTTTTCCGACAACCAGCAAGCGACAACCTGACATGATTCCTCTTTCATGACCTGCCTCCTGCTTCCTTGTTCTACCCAACAGGCAGTGAGGCGACAGAGAGACGAGGAAACAGTGTTTCTAGTCAGGATCATTATCTCTGAGCCTGTTATCTTAATACTGCAGTAATGTGCTATATGTCTATATGGCCTGCGCTCCCAATATGTTATTCAGATGCTGGTCCCTACAGTGAGAACAAAACTGGGTAACACAGCTTTTAAATATGCTGCCCCCACACTTGGAACAATGTACAGAAGGAGCTGAAACTCTCAGATTTAATCACTATGGGGGAATTCAGGTCCATCTTAAAGGACAGAGAACACGACACCATTGGTAGATGTGAGTGCTCGTATATCCTAAAATCTTTTTAAATGTTGCCAGTTTTGAATGATTTTTAATAGTTTGTTTTACTTCGCATATTGACTGGCTAATGTGCCATTTTATTTGTGTTTTACAGCTGTATTTGTCTGCCGGTCTTGTCTGTGTTTTATCTGTTGTAACTTCGTACATGCTGCCCTTCTTGGCCAGGTCACTCTTGGAAAAGAGATTTTAATCTCAATGAGTCTTTTACCTGGTTAAATAAAGGAAATATATATTGTGCTCTTCAGTAGAGGACAAATTAGTAGGGAAGCATTTTAATTTTTAGAAAGTTTTTTTCCCTAACTTCCCTCTGTTTTGCTCTGTTCACAGGTTCAGTGGATAAAGGCTTTTTGAACACTTTGAAGGAAACACCTGGAACATATCCTTTTAGGCTCTGGCCACAAAAACAGCTGCTGTGTGGATGATGTTTGTCAGATTTCCTAGAAAAGGAAATGGAAAGACATCCAGATTCTTTCAAATATCACACCCTGACTATTACTGTTTCCTAAACCTACGCCTGATCAGTGAGACTAACATAATAGCTTTGCAGGCCTGTACAGCTTTGATTTCTTAACGTCTTTTCGTGGCCTTTTCAAAACCAAAAACACAGCAGCAAAAATGCAAGCATGGATTCAGAAAATGTTTTTCTACTTCTACACAAGCTCCATCTTTTAGCATGACCATCTATTGATGAATAGCTTCAATAGTAACCTATTGCTATTAGAGTTCAAGCTAACATTACTAACTCTGCCCTGCTCTTATTGTATTTTAATTAACCCCAGCCAGCATGACTAAAGATAGCATATGGATAATTCCAGCTGGCCATTTCTGTCTTTTTAAAATGTAAAAGCTTCCTGCCTTTGATCCTTTAAAAAAAAAACCTCTGTCATTATTCATGTTGCATAATTGTCTGCCGTCATCTGCTGTTTAATCAGTGACCGCGTGTCGGGCAGGAAACATCTGTTGCTTTTTTCTTAACTGTTCCCCACGGTGCTGGAGGTGTTGGTGTGTTTCTTCACCCTGTGGTCGGTGGTGGGACTGACCGGCTTCCACACTTACCTGATCTCCCTCAACCAGACCACCAACGAGGATGTAAGTGATTAATAAATCAATGTTACTGCGAGATTAAAGCTGTCTCTTCTACCATCTGTATCTGAAATAATCCCGAAGACGCACATGCTGTACTTTGCATCTACTTTGTTTCATCCTGTCTTCATGCAAAATATCATGGAGCCACAGCATCAACTCATTCTTTGGTTAGTTTTTGTTCCGTATTATTATTATTGATAGTGAATGTAAGTAAGTTACTTTCAGATTACGTTTTTTATCCCCTTTCTCTTCAGTGAAAGGACTGCAGATGGAAATAAGCTATTAGCTCAAATCTAGCATGAGTCATCTCTTCTCTTAAGAGATAATGTTATTTTATGTGTGGCCCTTGTTCAATTAAGAAATAATAATGTTAGTTATAAGTTAAAGGATGAAGTGTTGCTTTTGTGTCAAGAAAACTCTCCATGTCTCAAACGTGACGGCGTTGGGGGTTTGAAATATGAGAGGACGTGCCTGCAAAGACCTGGAAAAGTCCTTAATTTTGATGTTTAAAAGGATTTATAAAACATTGCAAGAAGACACTCAAGGTTTTGCTTGCTTGCTAACAACTTTTATATAAAGAGAGAAATGCATTTACATTTTCAAAACATCTGGCTAGAAGCACCAAAAAACTTTGTGGTTGATTTTGCACTTTTACATAAATCTGATAGCTTTGTGATTCGGCCAATAATCAGGAAGTTGCCAGTTGTAAATAAGTGTTGCTTTATGTGTTAAAATAACTCTATACATCTCAAACCTTACAGCCATGGGTGCTTGAATATAAGAGAATCAGGGATGGAAAGTACTGGAAAAGTCCTTGAATTTGATGCAACTGAACAGTTCTTGTTTTTGTGTCAAACAACTCTCTGTGATTCAGCCAAGCAGCTTGAAGTTGCCGGGTGTAAATAAGAGAGAACTGAGATCGTGCCGGTTGGTAAATAGTTGGTCAATCCGAGTTGCCAGCGTTATTTTTATCTCCCAGACAAGGGGTCAAACCACTCATTAGTGTACCATAAACGTCATGTTTGAGCAAAGTCCTTTCTCACCAATCGATCACAGATGAGATAAAAATAGTGCAAGTATCTTTGTTCCTCAGATATTTCAAAGAGACTTTCACATTAAAGTCATTTATACAGTATAAAAGTCATAATGAAGATAAAGTGCAGTTTTAAGAATACATGAGTTAATGTTGTGATCCGGCAGCTGGCTTCACAAACCTACATCACAGAGGTGTAAACATAGTATACTGCAGAGCTGTTTCCTTGACAACCGTACCATGGTCATTTACAGCACTAAGGAGAAAAGTGCCTGTAAACTGTTGGTTGTTAAACAAGGCTTCTAACGTAAAATACAGTAAAGCAACAACACGACCAAAACAACAGGGTATTTATAACTGCAGCTAAAGGAGACACTATGAAGGTTTCTCATTTCTCTAATACCCCTCCTTGACTCCCCTCCTCGACTCCTGTCCTCGTGTCTTAGTCCCGCCCACAGGAGATGCGAGCGGAGGAGCCGAGGAGGGGAGCCGAGGGGAGAGGAGGGGAAGCAGCAGGCGGTTAGAGAAATGAGAACTCCTCTCCTCTGATCGGTCATTTTAAAGAGATGTCCATTAATGATGACAGGAGGCACAGCAGCACTCTGTCTGATGGACAGATGTGTTCATGACCACTTATATATTTACTTTTAATTCATTTACAGTGCGGTATAATGAGACAATAACAGGCTACAGATGCGGACCCCCCTCTCTGGTCGCTGAACTGGAGAATTGAAATTACGGGGCAAAAGTTTTATTTACAAGTATTAAAAGTAAGCAGAGGACACCAAACCAACTGAGACCTGTCTGTCTGCCGCATCTACGCTCTGTACAACACACACACCTACACACTGTACCACACACACCTACACACTGTACAACACACACCTACACACACACCTACACACTGTACCACACACACCTACACACTGTACCACACACACCTACACACTGTACAACTGTACCACACACACCTACACACTGTACAACACACACCTACACACTGTACCACACACACCTACACACTGTACCACACACACACCTACGCACTGTACAACACACACACCTACACACTGTACCACACACACACCTACACACTGTACCACACACACCTACACACTGTACCACACACACACCTACACACTGTACCACACACACCTGTACCACACACACCTACACACTGTACCACACACACACACACACACACACACACACACACACACACACACACCACACACACACACACACACACACACACACACACACACACACACCTACACACTGTACAACACACACCTACAGCCACTAAAGCAGGGGTAGCCAACACGGTGCCCCGCGGGCACTCAGTCGCCCGCAGGGGCAACGTGAGGCGCCCGCCGGGCACGTTCTAAAAATAGCTCGCCAAGAAAATCCAAAATGTATAAAATACACAAAACAAAAAAGGAAATGTAATTAAAAGAATCTACCACATGCATAAACGAAACCTAAATCATAGCAAACTCTATCTACTTACTACAACTCTATATCTAACACCCCTCCTCCCCCCACCCCCAAAATGAATATCGACCAATCACGTTCTTGCTTGATTTGCGGGACCAGCGCGTTCTTATTATACATCCATGGACCAACGTTGCAGTCGGGAAGAAAAGCAATGTGGCACCTCCCCGCTGATTTTCCTTCTGGCAGAATCTACACAACACATCAGCCCCATTGAACAGCCCATCATGCCAGCCTATACAGCACATGAGGGGCAGAGTTTTACTGTGTGTGTTGCAACTTGCATATTTATTTATTGCACTTGACGCACACACACGCATGGCGTAATCTCCAGGGGGGACATGTATGTTTAAGCCGTCATCGCCACGGAGGAGCATACTGTGTGTGTGTGTGTGTGTGTGTGTGTGTGTGTGTGTGTGTGTGTGTGTGTGTGTGTGTGTGTGTGTGTGTGTGTGTGTGTGTGTGTGTGTGTGTGTGTGTGTGTGTGTGTGTGTGTGTGTGTGTGTGTGTGTGTGTTGTGTGTGTGTGTGTGTGTGTGTGTGTGTGTGTGTGTGTGTGTGTGTGTGTGTGTGTGTGTGTGTACCCCTTTATTTATTTAATATAGATAAAGTAAGAAATCATTCCAATGTGTACAATAGGACAGTACAAAAACAGTTTAATAGGGGAGTGATTAGTAAAATATGCATAAATAAAAAGAAAGAATGTGGTAACACAAGATAAGAATAAACAAGTTTAAATGATTTATTATTGGTTGTGATCATATTCTAAAGATGTTTGGATTCTTAAAAAGTATACAGCTCCCTTTCATCTGAGTGTTGAGAGCTGTGTCCATAAATTCATGTTGTGCTCAAAGTGCACCAGATTGATGCATTTCACTTAGAGGAGGTGAGGTCCCCCCTGGAGGATGTGAGGCCCCCCCTAGAGGAGGTGAGGCCCCCCCTAGAGGAGGTGAGGCCCGTCCACCCCCAAATAAAGCAGGTTAAAATAATTAAATTGCATGTTATTTTAGTAAACACTGAAAACGGGTCCCAAAGACCCAAACAGCACACAAAGGTTAAAGATAAGCATATAATAATGTTAAAATGTGCTAAATATATACACTGCAAAAAACACACAGTAAAAGTAGCCCCCGACTTGTTTTATTTTTTGAAAGTAGCCCTCATCCTAAAAAAGGTTGGTGACCCCTGCCCTAAAGCATATAATACATATCAGGCTACAGCCGATATCTACTAAACTAAAGCAAATACAGAGAGTAATGAAGGCCTGTTATACTGAGTGATATATATTATACACACTGCTCTGCTTTCTGCACGGACCTCACAGCTGTTCTCTCTGTAAACATTGCGTTGCGATTCAAGCAGTTAATAAAATAATATCCAGGGGATGCATGCAGAGCTGTCATTGGCTGAGATAAGTCCGGCCGTGCGCCACGACACTTTGAAACATCTCTGTTCCCGGAAATGCATTCACGAAGGAGCCGTGGAGGACCCATCAGTGTATCCTCGGTTATAGCTCCTCCAGAGCGCCTCCTCGACGCTCGATGCTCGGTCCTCGAAGTGCATTTAGAGAAATGAGATGTCCTTCAACATGGCGCACTGAAATCCATTTCCGGGTCACTACCGGAGGACCAAGGAGTCGAGGAGGGGAAATTAGAGAAATTAGAAACCATAGAAAGAGTGAATAGTGTAAAAATGTAACTAACGGATATCACCAGGACATTTTCTGATAACCTGCATCAGAATAATTATGTTTGTTTAAAATATGGAAATAGAAATGCATTATCTATTATTTTTCTAGCTAACATACTGTTCCGAAACAGAAATCCAACCTTTTGATGAAGCCAGTTTTAAAACCTTTTAATTGTTTGGTTAACATGTTAGTCGTTTTTTACAGAGGGGATTTCGATATCACTATGTATAACTATAAAAAAGTAAAGAATATACTCTACAGCCATAAAATATATATATCTATAGAATGAAAGGTGATATAAATCAGGCTACGAAAAGCATGACGAATGTTTTTGTCTGTATTTAAAATGAATGATGTCTTATGTGTCCACCACAGCCACACTTAATGTGGGCGGTACAGCAGGAACACTTTTATTCTGCTCACAGTCTGAGCCATATGACAAACTGTCTGGTGAAAGCTTGGACTCCTCTCTGCTCACGAGCCGACATCGATTTATGATCTAAAAATATGCATGAAAACAGACAAACAAAACGGAATAACAAGAATATATTTAGAGATGCTTGTGAGGCTAAATGAGCAAAATAAGTATTGATTGCTTGACTAATATTGAGTCACCACACACACATGCCCCCACACACACACAGAGATGAGTGGTGATGATGCAGGTGGCTGAATCCTCAGAGGGAGTCATTTATGTGGTGTCTGTGTGTGTGAGTGTAACAGTGTGTATGTTATCTGAGGCTTTGTTAGTGCTGCAGAGGCTCTGAGGAGAAGCAGAGCGCAGCAGCGATGATAGAAGCTTCTAGATGGCTGGAAGCAAGAAAGTGCACTCGTACTTTGTTGTAATGATTAATTTATAATCCCCTCTCTCTCTCCTGTGCAAGAGCTGGCCTCATTTTTTTCATTTAATCAGTAATGAAGCTCTGCAATGAGCACCTACAGTACAGTCCGGTGTAGTTTTGCTCCAGGAGTTGAAACAATAGCTTGGTTATCTGTGATTGGCCTAATAATAAATCCACCAATCGCTGCAGGGCCTGGTGTGGCAGAAGGGAGGGGGGAGGGAGAGAGGGAGGAGAGGGGAAGGAGGGTGAGCAAGAGAAGGCACCTTGAGTGCTGCTCCGATCTCTCACATGCACATACACACACACACACACACACACACACACACACACACACCACACACACACACACACACACACACACACACACACACACACACACACACACACACACACCACACACACACACACACACACACACACACACACACACACACACACACACACACACATACACACACACACACACACACACACAGAGATATTACACATAGGCATGCAGTACTGAAGTAGCCCATGGGGCAGACAGTTTGACCTACATCTGCCGCAACAACTAAAAAGAAAAGCTTTTTATTTTCTCTCTGACTCGCTGGAGGGTCGTTCGGTACAAACTCATGCTGTGCAGCCAACGTTTGTTCTGTAGGGGTCAATTATTTGTGACAAAGTACTTTTTGGGCTAATACAATTATAATCTAAATTGTGTTTTTTGTACCAGTAACACTTGAGTCAATCTAGCACTTAAGAAATTATGCTGGATTATTACATTGCATTTTAGCTGACGCTTTTATCCAAAGCGACTTACAATAAGTACATTCGACCAGGAAGACACAACCTTGAAGAAAACAGAATCATATAAGTACATCAGGTTTCATAGAGCCAAACATTTCAAGTGCTACTCAACTGGCTTTAGATAAGCCGGTCCTTTATTAGTATAAAAGTGCTTTGTTAATAATAATTTCGCTCGAGGTGGAGTCGAAAGAGATGAGTTTTCAGTCTGCGCCGGAAGGTGTGTAAGCTTTCTGCTGTCCTGATGTCAATGGGGAGCTCATTCCACCATTTTGGAGCCAGGACAGCAAACCCACGTGTTTTTGCTGATGGGAACTTGGGTCCCCCTCGCAGCGAGGGTGCAGCGAGTCGTTTGGCTGATGCAGAGCGTAGTGCACGCGCTGGGGTGTACGGTTTAACCATGTCCTGGATGTACGAAGGGCCAGATCCATTCACAGCATGGTACGCAAGTACCAGTGTCTTGAAGTGGATTCTAGCAGTTACCGGAAGCCAGTGAAGGGAGCGGAGTGGTGTGTGAACATTTTGGAAGGTTAAAGACCAAACGAGCCGCTGCATTCTGGGTGAGCTGCAGAGGTCGGATGGCACATGCAGGTAGACCAGCCAGGAGGGAGTTGCAGTAGTCTAGGCGTGAGATGACGAGAGCCTGGACCAGAACCTGCATTGCTTTCTGTGTCAGCTGGGGACGTATCCTCCTGATGTTGTAAAGCGTGTATCTGCAGCAACGGGTTGTAGCAGCGATGTTTGCAGTGAAGGACAGGTTGTTATCTAGGATCACACCCAGATTCCTTGCAGTCTGAGTCGGGGAAACAACAGAGGTGCCGATGTTGATTGTTAGGTCAAGAGTGGGACAATCTTTTCCCGGAAGGAAAAGCAGCTCAGTCTTGTCAAGGTTGAGCTTGAGGTGATGAGCAGACATCCACTGAGAGATGTCAGCTAGACAAGCAGAGATGCGTGCGACGACCTGGGTCTCTGAGCGGGGAAAGGACAGAATTAATTGGGTGTCGTCAGCGTAGCAGTGGTATGAAAAACCATGCGGGCTAATGACTGATCCGAGCGAGTTTGTGTACAGGGAGAAGAGGAGGGGACCAATAACAGAGCCCTGAGGGACCCCTGTAGTTAATTGACAAGGGTCGGACTCGGACCCTCTCCAAGTTACCCTGTAGCTACGGTCTTTGAGGTATGAGGTGAGGAGGGAAAGTGCAGAGCCTGAAACCCCAAGTTTTTGGAGAGTGCGAAGGAGGATCTGATGATTCACCGTGTCGAATGCAGCAGACAGGTCCAACAGGATGATGACAGAGGAGAGGGATGCTGCTTTGGCAGTGTGCAGTTCCTCAGTGACAGCAATGAGAGCAGTTTCTGTGGAGTGACCTGCCTTGAAACCAGACTGGTGCGGATCCAGAAGGTTATTCTGATGGAGTTAATTATGAACTTTTTTTATTTCATTTTTTGCTAGTATAACAACATAAATATAGTAAATACATAAAACAAAATGTAAAAGACATAAAATGAAACAATTTCAGCAACACAGATGAAATAGAAAATACAAGACCATGAGATATGAACAGTATATAAAATAGAATACCCAAAATATGTGTTAACCTTGCATTGATAAAAAGCTTTTTTAATAAAAGTTAAGCTCAACTAGCTGACTTTCTATTATAATGTATATTTAGGAGAATACAAACTGCACTCAAAGTATTTCTCTATAATCCAAAAACATGCAGTCGAGCCCTGAGTAATGTCTGAAGGTATTCCTCCAACCACCTTCACCAACAAAGTGGGAAGCCTGTGGGTGACTTTGAGAGTCTTTGAGTTTTCAAAAATACAAAAAATGTCAGGAGGTATTTTGTTGACGTGTATATAAAAGGATGCACAAGACCTTTAGAATATTTCCATTTCATGTAAATGTGCTGCCCTAAAAGGCATAAATGATTTGAATATTGAAATCACTTTGTACATCATAGGAACATAAAAGAAGCCTCTACAGAATATGTATATGAAGCAGCTGCATGCATACAGCACAGTGTGGAATGTGTTATCTTACCAGGGGATATCCTTTATATGAATCCTCAGATTCTTGAATGAATTATTAAAGTGGTTGTAATCATGCTGTGCTTATTCGCACCCGTTGGCGGATAGAGTTCCCGTTAAACCAGGAATCGTTAAAGTTCAGTTTTAGTAGGTCAGAGCCAAGCCTGTGGGAATAACATCTAAAAAAGGAAGTATGCTTTTGAATAAGATATAAGCGCAGGGAAAATCAGGGATGTGGTTTGGGAAGATTTTGCTCTACAGTGTTTCTTTTTTTTGTGTTTTCCCAGATTAAAGGATCCTGGTCGGGTAAGAACCGAGTCCAGAACCCGTACAGCCACAAGAACTGCTTCAAGAACTGCTTCGAGGTTCTCTGCGGGCCGACGTTCCCGAGGTAACTGTCGGAGTAAAACATGAAGCAAACAGAATCCATCATCTTTCGTGGTTAATAAATTGTCTAGATGCCTATATTAGGTTTTCAGTATGTTCCAGTTTTATCGAAGAGCTCTGTTCAAAGGCTTTATTGTCATATGCACATCGAAAGTATAGTTATAGTTAAAAACAATACAAATAGTGCAATATGAACCAGTAGAAATAAATGAGTGCAAGAGGATGTTGCAAGACTAATGTGCACTTAATGTTGGAGAGGTTAACTATATGCAAGTAAAATAGAATAAGATGAGGTAAAAATAGAATGTAAATTGAAATGCTGTACAGTGAAATAAAACACTGCTTATTGTCATAATAGATAGATCTGTGAGCTGCAACAGAGATTGTGTGTGATAGATTAGTCGGTAGATGTGTCTCTCTGCTGCTCCTCACCCTGCCCGGTAACGAGCCGGTTGCCGTCAGTGACCGATGGCCTTGTCCCCGCAGCGTGTTGGACAGGAGAGGACTGATGCAGGAGGATTCATCATTTTCTGCTGCGTCTGCTTCACTCCCCCCCTCCAGAAGCAACCCAGTGTCACAAACCACGGTGAACACACACACACACACACACACACACTCACACACACACACACACACACACACACACACACACACACACACACACACACACACACACACACACACACACACACACACACACACACACACACACACACACACACACACACACACACACACCACACCACACCACACACACTTTATACCCCCCTTCACACACTTCTCCTTCTCTGGCTCTAAAGTGAACGAGGCTGCAGTGCATAGGATAGTGAATACAGAGCAGACATAAAACAGTCTTAACCAATTACAGAGGATGTTGGAGAAAGTGTGTGTGTTTGTGTGTGTGGTGTGTGTAATCAAACTGACAGGTAATCCATCTTGAGACACACTGATGTTGAGCCATGTTGTGTCTCTTTATATAGTCTATTATTTATCTATTTATTATTTTTATTTTGTTATATTTTCTGCTAATAAATAGGCTACGTCATTAGTCGTGTTTGCAGCGGAGGAAGACACATACCGACCTTTAACTTAAGTGCTAATACCATGGTGTAAAAGTAATCTGTAACAATTAGAAATGTGTACTAGCATCAATGTACAGGAATACTCAAACTAAAAGTGCTTTTAACGCAGAATGGCCCATTGAAGAATAATGCACAGTATACAGTATTACACTGTTATAATCAGGGGTGCACATAACTTTTTTGCCCTGGTTCTCAAAGGAGCACCTGGAGATGTTGCTTGTTGCACATCCTTAAAATGAAATAAACCGGACCTTTTGAGGGGTAGGCTACTTGACTTTATGAACGGGGGGGGTGTGCTAGTGAGCACGCAGCAGGGTCTGTGCGGAGTGCATAAAGCAGACCCTTCACGCGATAGCGAGGTTCTATAGAGTTCTCATGGAAATAATTTGCTTCGATTTAATTAATTCAATGAGCAGTGTGTTGGTTTTAACCATATACTGAAAACAGCAGAAAGGCAGAACTGAATTCACCTTTATGTCTGTTTATTTCTCGAAAGATATATCAATTTAATACTAAAATGTGAGAGAAGTTTAGCCAGTTATACTGAATGCTTGTTGTTTGCATGTCATTCCTTCAGCTTTGCTGCAGCTCAGTTCCTCATCAGTGTCTCTTTCTGCAGAAAACCACGGCTCCTCTCATCCGCAACGAACACACACCTGATGAGGCCAAGCGGAGCATCGCCGCCCCTGAGGAGAAGAGCTACTCCCCCAGAGAGGAGAATGGTTCCTCCCCCAGAGAGGAGAAGAGCTCCTCCCCCAGAGAGGAGAAGGGTTCCTCCCCCAGAGAGGAGAAGAGCTCCTCCCCCAGAGAGGAGAAGAGTTCCTCCCCCAGAGAGGAGAAGAGTTCCTCCCCCAGAGAGGAGAAGGGTTCCTCCCCCAGAGAGGAGAAGAGCTCCTCCCCCAGAGAGGAGAAGAGTTCCTCCCCCAGAGAGGAGAAGAGTTCCTCCCCCAGAGAGGAGAAGAGCTCCTCCCCCAGAGAGGAGACCCCGAAGGTCCCGCCCCTGGCTTCACCCGAGCCTGACGCAGAGGTGTCCGTCACCAAGGGCCCGGCCCATTAGCTGCATGAGGGGGGGGGCTCTGATCCTGGCCGGTCAGGAAGTGAAACATTATCGACGTGTGATGACTGTGCGGGGGACTCAGTTATCCTCCGACGCCCGCCCCACATTCCTCCAGGAGAGCAGGGTTTCTGCAGCAGCTCCTCCTCTCCCCCCCCTCTCCTCACCCGCAGATTGACAGTGCAGGAGGGGCATCGATTTAATGTAAAGTCAGCAGCTTCCTCTGTCTCCTGCACACTGCATGGAAAAGACACGCAGGGGGAGAAGCTGCAGTAAGAACTGCAGAGAGAAATACAAAAACTCTCCAAGCGTTTGACGTCCCAGCAGGCCACCTGTGGGATTATCACTACTGCTTCTGTTCTTTATTTAAAATATTGCGTAATGACATTTATTGTGAGAGGCCAGTTCAAATATATTCCTTGCAAGTGTCTGGCAACGACGATATTACTTCTGGACATGTATAAAACTCCATTTATCTGTTGTGTGCACATTACATGCCCTATGCAAACATACAGAGGCTGGACGTGCAGCTTTTTGAAGAGAAGGGTTAACGGCAGGAGTCCAGGAGGACGATCCTTAGCTGACAGATTAAAGGCTCCTTCCAGGCAAGTCCAATCTACCTTGTTTTATGATACTGCTGCATTCAGTACTGTTATAACTTACATGCATTACTTTTTTTTAAGAGATCCAGACCAACGCCTGTCCTTCCATTTTTATAAATCCAGGATGTAGTGTGACATCGGTGCTCTGAAGTTGCTTAACGTGAAGTCTTTTATCCAGGAGACGCTCAGTCCCACTGTGTGAGAGGAAAGGTCTGACTTCTGATGATAGTAGACACTAGTAGTAACAGTGCCTTATCATAACAGACGCACCAACAAGTGCAACTGAAGTCGACCAACAGATAGATCCGTTCATGCCACTGATAGACAAATGCCAACGTTTATTCTTCTAACCACTGAACACTTAACATCTATTAAGTGTTCAGTGGATCCCAACCTGGAGGGTAAGAATTAAGGTATCATTTGACTATTTGGGAAGTAGTTTATTCACTTTCCTGAAGAGTTGGATGAAAAGATTTATATCACTACAATATATGTACAGTAAATATGAAGCGACAGCTAATAGACAGTTAGCTTAGCTTAGCAAAAGGACTGGAAACAAAGGGAAACAGCTAGCCTGACTCTGTCTAAAGGTAGAATATCAAATTTAACACAAAGGTCCACAATTTACACAAATGTTTATTAGGATAAAATAATGAAGCGATGACATTTTCAACAGACCGTAAATGAAGTACATTTTCTTAAAGGGTTTTTAGCTGGAAAATCACAAAAATACATCCTAGAAGGACAATAAGCGCTCTGTTTGAACTGCTGGTTGACTTATGGACATGCTAAAAAGGTTGGGAACCACTGAATTAGACATTGTAAAGCAAAAAGGTAGTGAAGCCGTGTTGAATTGTACATATTTCTGCAAGGTAAAGATGTCAGCTGATTGGATAGGAGGAGAGACTAAAGCAAGGTTGTTGTTTTTTTAGCGTTTAAGTGCAGCCGGTGTTATTCCCGCTGCCTTTGAGCTCCAGCGCCTCCTCCTGCTGATCTTCCTCCTCCTCCTCCTCTCTCTTCCTGTTACTACATATTTAACACTTCTCCTTCTCCTCGCCTCCTTGCTGTGACAGTGCACCTAAAGCCGAGGTCTCCACTGCAGCCGTCTGTGGCCGCATCATTAAAGCATAAAGAGCCGAGGCAAAGACGTCCTTTCTCTTCACACTTCTGTGTATTTCAGACTTCAAAATGGCTGCAGAGTTTATTTGTTTTGGTCACAGGTCGCTCGAGGGGACAGCATCCACACCGAGGACAGAGGAAGAGTTATTCTTAGTATTTAAATGATGTTAGCTGATAGCGAGGGTTTGTAATAGTTATTGTGTTGTATGCAAGACAGAGCTAGTGTTTGTGAAATTTACCTGTGTAGAAGTTCTAGTTTGTCAACAGCATTGTATCAGACATCTGCCTGAGATTATTTATTACTAAGTCACAGTTTATCCTGAAGATCAAAAAATCTGCCAAACACAGAGTGGAAAAGTTTGATTATTTATATTGTACCGTAATAATGGAGCAGTTTAGACACTTTGGATGATAAAGATTCATCTTGGCCAATATTCTTCATTCTTGTTTAATCTGTGGATGAGTTTCTTGATTACTAACCCTTTGTCCAAAAAATATTCGGTTGACATATTGAAGTATTTAATGTTGTCCAACCAGCTATTCAAAGACCCTTCGAAAATCAATGAACTTTCAGAAAATCAGAAAATATTTATATTTTAAAAAGCTGGAACTTGCACAATTCCAGCAAAAATAAATTGTGCAATTAATTTCCTGTCGATAAATTGACGAACACTTTTAGCTCCACATTCATCTCTACATTAGGATGAACATAGGAGAGAGACAGACTCACCCCCGCTGGAAGAAGCTGTACAGTGTGTGACAGTTTTGTTTCTGTGAAGTATAAAAAATAAACAGCTGAGTATTTGTTGGGAAAACTTTTTAATAAGAAGGTTTGAGACTAGTTTTTAAAGCTGAATTTAGCGGCTGATCTTTCTTTGTGGGAAGTATTTGAAGACAGTTTGGTGAATTTCATTGATTTGCTGTCACAGAGAAGCAAGAATGTATGTGATTGATATTCGATGAAAGAAGAGACGGGAGACTTTAAAAGGGACGGATGAAGTATGATTTTTTGGCTCAAGCTGAGCTCTTGTACGTATGATTCTTGTATTAAAATGCCATGACGGTCAGATCTGAATGCTCTGATCAATCAATTTCATGATGTATACAGAAACAGTAATATACCATCGATGATACTCTTTATTTATGTTCACTTTGTTAAGTATCAGCACTGTGACTTTATGTGTTTCATTCAATTTAATTCACTTCTTTTTACATGATCAATGTGTCTGGTAAATAAACAATATTGTCTTATTATTGTTTGTCTTTTAAAATATGTTTTTGTTTGCTCTTATACAGAGTTCTAGAGGGTGCAATGCAAATGAAGGGAAACAAAACGATGAAATACAGATTTGCGCTGCATTTAGCGAGAGCAACAACAGAACATGTTTACAGGAGACACTTGGCGGAGTTCACACTTGCACACACACCTTTTTGATTATTATTAGACTTAAAATATACACACAGTTAATTGTAAAACCAGCAACATGTTAATGGTTGAAATTACAATATTAACTCTCTGTACACATAATGGGTGACAAGCTAATGAACTAGCTAAACTAGTTAAAGGGGCCCTATCATGCTCATTTTCACTTTCATATTTGTATTTAGTGTCTCTACTGTGACATGTCTCCATGCTTTAATGTTCAAAAAGCTCTTTATTTTCCTCATACTGCTTCTGCTGCAGCACCTCTTTTCACCCTCTGTCTGAAACCAGAGCCCAGTCTGCTCTGATTGGTTATTGGTATTTTGCTCTGACCCTTAGAGATGTCCCGCCCCTTAGCCTACAATGTGTTGGAGCGCGATATATTTTAGCCTTTGCAGACCATTTACATGCACAAAAACCTTTAACACATTATAGGAAAGGGAACACCTTTAATTACAGAAGTATTATTTATGCTATCAAACCATTAATCTCTCCGTGAAAGAAGAATCCCGTCGAAAATAATGTGCATTAACTTTGAAAATCAAGTTGAAAATGCGGTTTGTTTTTCTGTTTTAGTGTTATTTCCATGTTTCAATAGGCGGTCGGAAGTATTTTGAAATGTAGTATTAGTATTTTTACTTCAGTAAAGGTCAGACTACTTATTATTCCTCTTCCCACTACAGTATTAATACAATCATTTGAAAACTAGTGATCTTTTATGAATGAATGAATCCCTTTTGTAAAAGTACAATGTTTACTCTGCTGCTCTTTCCATATATCAGATGTTACCTCTGTCTTCCTGGCACACAACACTCATATGTACTGCCATGATATTGTTGCTGTGTAAGGAGTAACATGCAAAGATTCACACATCAGAGCAAACGGCAGAGGATTGTGTTTACATCTCTAAATAGGATTTGGTTTCAGTGTCTTCACTTCCACAAAGTCTGCAGCATGTTTGTGATCGTTGCATTCTCTATTACTCTTAGTAAACCAACAACAAATGTAAGGGTGACAATGTTTTACAGATCATCCGATAATACAGGTCCTTTGTTTAACTGTAATGTCTTCCAAACTACCAGGTAATACATTAAGTAGTATGGATGTACTTTATTTCCCTCACATTTCATTAAGCAGATAGATGTTAAAGTTCTGTATCAGAAGACTAAACGTAGAGTATGCCAACTTTGTTCAAACATGTTTTCTATTTGATATTTTTGTGTATTACTGTACTAAGATTTAACACTTTTCATGACATACTATGAAATTACTTAAAACGTATTTGACATACAATTCTAGGATTTTAAACTATCTTTCTTAAAACAAGTTTGTATGACATACAGTACAATAACTTTCTCTTTACTGAGTTTTAAAGACATGCTTTGAGTTTTTTTTAAATGTGTAAATTATATTTTGTATAACCCACATTAGTAAGATTTCTTTAATGACAATGTATTCTAATTTAAAGGTCACCTATCATGCTATTTTTAGGCAATAGCATAGGTCTCATATATAAAAATATATAAAAAACATGTCTATGAAGTGTTTTGCTCAAAATAGTAAACGGATCACCCATTCTAGCCATGCCTCATATCCCTCTATTTCACTTCCTGTTTCAAAAGTGCTGCATTTGGGTATAAAGCTTTAAAAAAAGAAAAATTGCAACAAAATAAAAAGGAGGGGGCTGAGCTCATGCAGGAGATTCTACCGGCAGATACTGCGGTGATTAAACGCCATATCATGGATTATCAAAGATAATTTCTGAAACAGTATGGAGCTCAAAGGCTTTCTCTCTTGCTGGTTATACCACAAGGTGAGTTCCTTTTTATTTCCTGCTTCTTCACACACATGCTCTCCAGTACAGGTTAGCTCTGAGTGTTAGCGATGCTAATGTAAACACCGACCATATTACGTCCAAAACAGTCGGGCATTGTTTCTGATAGCAACTTTCTGATAGTGCCGTGGGTCCACATTTCAAGATATTACGTCATATCGGACGCAATTCCAGATCAGCTCCGTTGTACCCCAGTTTTTAGAGATTTGGGTACGGAGAAAAAGAGGATTTTATTTTCTGACGCTGCGTGAGTTTCCCGACACTACGGGGACACATTTATGTATAAAAGACATCAAAAAGTGCATTTTGCATGATAGGTCCCCTTTAAGATATTAGATACTAAGCTATGATTTTATTTACTTATTTTAGGACATGCAAAACTATTCATTTTTGATATTTTTAGAAACAGGACATACTTCATTTTTTATGACATATGCTTTTTAAAGATATTCTTCCATGAAACACTATAGTCTATGGATAATATAATTTAATGACTTTTAAGTACACATATTTTTTAAAGACATGTCTGTTTTATGTAGTCGAGAGCTCTGAAAACTGAGTTTGTGCTCGCTAGTCAACAACAACTTCTCAGTACAGTTTTATTCAAAGTATTTACAGCAGCTGTTCACAACCTCCTCGTAATGCAACACATCAGTGAAAGAACCTCGATACACATTTAAAAGCAAACTACTACTAGTTACAATAAAACTCAAGTTACATGTAAAAACATCTGAATATATTTTACATTCATGTGTATGAGCATTCACCACTAAAATAAAGAATGACATTGTAAAAATGAAGACAAACAACCTGAAAAGGCTTAATTTGTACATGACAATGAAACATTACCCTCAGGAGGAAACATGTTCATTATACAGCGTACGAATAGAAGCTGTGCGGCTTCTTCCACTAAACGGAGACCCTCATTTCCTGCAGTATTTGAACCTTACACTGTGTTCCTATCAGCAGTCCTCTCTGTATGAAGGGACATTTTTAACGGCATCACACCTCGCTCCACAAAGTCCAGAGAATCAGATTTACAAAGTATTTCTCCGTCACTCCTCAAGATTTCTCGTCCACCGTCAGCTCCTGCAGCTGCTCCTGCAGAGCGTCCAGCTGCTCCTCTTCCTCCTCACCTCTCTGCCCCTCTGAAGCTCGCTCCTTCTCCTCCTCGGTCTTCGGCTCCTCTCGTGCGTTCTCCAGGTTCTCGGAGCTCTCGAAGCAGCCGGAGTCCCTCGGCTCCTTGGCCTCCTCCTCTTCCTCCTCAGGCTCGGACTCGTCGTCAGCTACACAGGGCAAATAATCAGATTTAAATACAGAAATACAATCTTCTTTCCTCCTACAATCTTGTTCAGCTGCAGAGAGGAACTTTAGATTCATGTTGTGTGAGCTGGGAATAAACACAAAGGCACAGACCGCTACGATACGTTTTAATTACCGTTTTGTGGGATGTTTTTGGCTTTTACGTTGAATTCTCAAGTCTTTTCTTGTATGGTTGTAAATTAATTAACAACTTTGTGGGATTTTCCTAATAAGAGGAATGTATTCAATGCCCATTTTTATGCTGCCATGTTTTCCTACTTCTTGACATCTGGTAGTGGCTACAAGAAGCTACACAGGTTTGAGTGTTTTTGGCTTACCTATCAAATAATCATTATTATCTAACGATGCATTGTCATTTTTTTAGTAATAGACTTGTCTTATGGTATTGTATGATATTTTCTTATTTTTATTTCATTTCCTGTTCTCTGGAAGCTTTAATTACTCATTTTAAAAGCATTGATGTGTTCCTTATGTATTTGTTTATGTACAGCACTTTGAATTGCCTTGTTGCTGTAATGTGCTTTACTAATGAACTCGCTGCAGCTAATTGTAATGCTAATCCTTAAAGTCTTTTCAACAAATAGCTGTAAACCGGTGTTCAGATCATTAGTGATGGATCGTCTGGAGCACACACACAGTATGATGGGACAAGCGACTGAGCATTAATTAAACTGAGTGTGACGCTGTGCAACGGAGCCATACAATGAAGCTCATTATGCAGCGGAGGCAGAAAAAGGTGATGGAAGCATGAAGTATCCCCCAAAGACACAATTTTCTGTGATATCCGAGTGGCACACGGACTCTGAAATGATCATTAGTGGGATACTTCTCTCAGCTTCTGGATCAGAGGTGTATTTTTAAAGGTTTTTGCAGATTACAGTGTTTGCCCTTACAGTCTCTCAGCAGCTCAGAGGCGCTCAGGATCTTGGAGCGAGCGTCCGGGTCCGTGATGTTCAGCTCGTTCAGGTGAGACTGCTTCAGCCCTGCAAAGTCCTCGAGGCTCTGGAAGCCGTGCATGGACAGCAGAGAGCTCAGCTCCTGAAACACCAACAGCAGAGTTTAGACAGATATGTATTCATATTCTTCCTGCAGTGGTGTCGCAGTGAGACTCTCACCGTGAGGCCGATGCTGTCCAGAACCTCCTCCAGGGATTTGGGTTTGGATTTGGAAAGCCGGTTCTTGCTGTTGCAGCGTCTCCTGCGGGCGGGGGGGCTCTCGTCGGGCAGCAGGTTGACGTAGATGAACTTGAAAGACCCAATTTTGTTGTTGAGCTTCCCGGTCCACGTCCCCACAGGAGGCTTCTCGATGATGTGGATGATGTCGCCTTTCTATAAGAGAGATGACCCATCAGCACAATGAGTCATGATGAGGACAGCAGGTTGAAGGACACCAAAAAAAAGGATGGACAAAAGAAAAGCTTGAGAGCAACATCTGTCTGGTTGTTAAGTCTTTAAAAATATGAGGATTGTATTGAATGACTTTTTTTCATTCAAAGCTTCCATTAAGGCTTTCAAATATCTGTCATATTTTA